TTTGCGGGGTCGGGCCTGGGTGCCCAGGGCTGGGTCCCGTCGGGTGCCGAAGCCCCGAGGTCGAGGCCTGCACGGTCTGGCCCGGGCAGCCGCTCCAGGGCTCGGCTGGCCTCACGGGGTTTTCTTTAGCCCAGCCTGAACCTCTTGTGTGTCAACACCTGCCTGTTGTCTCCTGTCCTCCTGCCACACCACCGCTGTGAGGAGCCTGGGTCCGTCTTCTCAGGCACCTCCCCACAGGCACTGGGGGCTGTGGTTGGGTCGTCCCCCCCCCCAAGCCATCTCACCTCACAGTGCTCCAGCCCCAACCGTCCTGGTGGCGTCCAACAAACTTGGTCCTGTTTACAGACACCTTCCCTGAAAGGGTCATGGGAGGAAGACTGGGCACTGTCTCCTAGATGTGGTCTATCGAGTGCCAAGTAATGGGGGATAATCAGTCTGCTTGATCTACAGGCTCTGCTCCAGGATGCTGTTGGCCCTCCTTGCTGCCAGGGCCAGCTTAGCGCGCTGCCCACCAGGGCCCCAGGGCCTTCCCCACAGAGCTGCTCCCCAGCTGGGCACTCCTGGTCTCTACTGGTGCCCAGGCCTCGTCCTTCCCAGGGGCAGCAGTCCCCCATGATAACCAGGCTTTGTGACACAGAGACTTCCTTGGGTTGTATCAAAAGACTTAATCCACTTCCTCATCCTGATCAAGTGGTCTGTAACATGCTCCCATCAAGGTGTCACCTTCAGTGACTTCTCTTCTGATCCTGACGTGCAAGCTCTGACCCAGCCCATTGCCCAGCCCATACAAGAGCTCCACATACCCAAGATGCTGCTTCACAGAGAGGGCAGTATCACTGGGCTCATGTGGACAAGCAGTTGGGAGTAGTAGGCTGAAGGATGGGCGAGCCTTGGCAGTGTCCTTGCAACATGTTGGATCCAAGCCCACAGCAAGCAAAAAACCCAGACAGCAAGTCAGGCTGGCAGATGGGGTCCTCCATCCCTCACAGCACAGAGTCACCCACTGTTCCAATCCACCACTTTCTCCTGGTGGTGCTGCTGTGTGGTTCAGGCTTGGCCAACTGTGGTGCTTCCCCACATAAGCCTTCCTTCCCGTCATCTGCTACCAGGGCATGGAGTCTATACTCCAGTTGCAGATTTGCAGGTGGAGAAGGAGCTGTCCTCCTGTTGCTAGAAGTCACAAGCTTCCAGCCTTCCCCATCATGGGAAACCCTCGGACCACAATCTAGCTGCGCCTCCTTCCGTGTAGTTTGGGCTCTCACTTCCACAGGGTCTCTGGGAAGACCCTGTCAAACTCTTTTTCATCTTCCCTGGTATCGCACAGTCTGCTGGACTCCTCCTCAAGCTCCTTAGATTGGCAACAACTCCTCACCACTGCACACATCCAGCAAGCAAGAGCACCACCTCTGCAGAGTGGTCCGTGCAGCCCCAGGCCTCCAAAGCTGCAGTTCCCCACACTAGGTCTGGCTGGGATGGAGTTTCCTCACAGCAGCCCATATGATGCTGTGCTTAGGATTTGCGACCGAACAGTGTTGATAACACACCAATGTTTTAGCTGTTGCTGAACAGTGTTTGCACACTGTCAAGGCCTTCTCAGGGTCTCACTCTGCTCCCCCCAGCAAGTAGGATGGAGGTAGGGAAGAGGCTGGGGTGGGGGAGAGGTAGGACAGCTGACTTGAACTCACCAGAGAGATATTCCATAGCACATAATGTCACACTCAGCAATAAAAACTGGGGGTGTAGTCTTTCCAAAGTAGCCATTGCTCGGAGACTGGCTGGGCATCAGCGGTCTCCTTGTGGGAGGCGGTGTGTGATTGTCTTTGTATGGGTTTTTTTTTCCCCTCTTTCCTTCACTTACTAAACCATCATAGTCTTGACCCACAACTTTTCTTGCTTTTGCTCTTCTCGTTCCCTCCCCGCGGAGCAGTGAGCTAGCAGCTGGCTGGGGTCAACCCGCCATGCCCACAAAGCTCTGTGTGAGCAGAGGCCTCTGCTGAGCCAGGGCAGGTTCCCCAGTCAGCGCCGGGGACTGTGTCGGGTGGCGTGCCACTGCACCACCACCCGCCTCCTGCCTTGTGAACAACCCCCTCTCTGCCCTTTCTTGCAACATTACAAGTCTGCCCGAATTCCTCCCAATCCACGCTCACTCAGCTCTTGAATGCTGTCACGCTGCACTCACAACAAACGGACCCTTAGCACAGGCATCTGCTGCTCTGGGGTGAGGCTTCCTACTGCCTCTCACGAGGTCTTTTATCAAGAGACTGTAAGCCCACCTTGACACCCCTGCGTGACTGTCCCTTAACTCATGAGCACTGTCACCACTGCATGCTTCACCCAGCACGCCGCCCTCACAGTATATAAGAGGCTGTTGATGGTCTGTATGTGAGGACCAGGAAAGAAGCTTTCGCTTTGGAAAAAAAAGAGTGTTTTGCAATGTTGGGTGTTTACTTCCTATGAAGGTCACGAGACCTTTTGCGATTGCAGAGTTATGTGAAAACATGATCTGCAAAGCTTCAAACAAAAAGGCAGATTTGCACGTTAATTTCATAGCAATTTACTATCTAAGACATGATTACTTTGAAGTAATCTTAGTCCTTGGAGTTGGCAAAACCAAGTAGATGTCTTAGGAGAGTCTCAGAGAAGTGGACGGAGTAAGGTTAGATTTTGTGGGAAAAATATGGCAGACAATAGTCAGCTAAACTGTCTCAACCAAGTATTTTTTTTTTCAAAAAGCATTAATTTCTTCAAGTATTCTAAGATGCAGACTATACTCTCTGCATGCCGTTCTGAGGGTGTTGTTTTGGGATTTTGTTGTTTGTTTGCTTTTTGAAGGAAGAAAAATATTTTGTCCACACAGTGGCTTTCATTTCCAATTACTTCACAAACCAATGTACATATTGCAGGTTAAATTGTTCTGAGCAAGCAGGTCACACGTCAAACATAAAATCCATGCAATTATAAGAGAATTGACTCCCACTATTAGTAAAATGGCCTTGGGCCCTGACTTTACAAAGGCTTACACAAGGCTACAGAGTTATGAGTAATCTTAAGTATTCCCAGGGTGTGAGCTTAATTTATTCAAAATTGTCTGTTACAGGTTTCTCACCATTTCTGCAGTGAAATAATTACACAGAAATGAAGGTAAATGTCCTACAGAGCGAGGGCACCTAGCATCAGTGGTGCACCTAGCCCAGCATTTTGATTCCAATGTCAGTAAAAGGAGATACTGTTTAGGAAGAGCTCCTCGGTGTGGTTACTTCCCCTGCATCTCTCATTGTATTAGGGACGCTGGAGGGCACATCCCTGCCTATTTCCTTCAGTGTCCACTAACGGATGTGTTTGCCATCAGTACGAATAACGCCTCCTTGAACTTACGGATAGCGTCCAAGTCCTCGACCTCTGGTGGCAATACCAGAGGCAATACCAGAGGCAATACCAAATAGAAGTTCACAATCTGCTTTGCAGAAAAGCATTTTCTTTACATGTCTGAAAAATGATCTTCTGCTGTTTTCATGAGGTGCCTCCTCATTCTCATACTGTGGGATTCGGTTAACAACAACTTTGTACCTTCCGTGATTTTGTAAATCTTGATCAATCCTCTCCCCCGTCTTCTCTCTCCATATCGAACGGCCTCAGCCGTTATTGCTCCTGCTGTAAGGCAGCGGCTCCATCCCTCCTCAGTGCCTTCCCTAACTCCTCTACATCCTTCTCGAGCCGTGAGGACAAGAACTGATGCAGTAATCAATCTGAGGCTGCGCCAGCGTTTTATATAGCAGCCAAACAACACCCTCCATCTTGTCCTCAATATTCTTCCTGATAACATACAAGGTTTCGTGGGGGTTTTTTGATTGCCACTGCACATAAAGTTGGTGAGACAATTTCAGAGAACTGTTTGAGAGCTCTGAGTCGTAACTGCTACTACTAAATTCAGCAAAAGGGAAGCGTAGCAATCTAACTGCCTTACAGCCCAGGGGCATGTGAAAGCAGGTACTTAGTTATTGAAAGTCCCATCACCTCCGTGAAGATCACCGCTTTTAAACAGCTCCAAAAGCACCACCAACCCTAGTTAAGAATTAAATCTCAGATGCATTTGTAAGTATCTTCAAAGAAAAATAAATGTAAATTCACCATTTTAATTGGAAATACACGACCTGTAGAGTCATACTCGATGCCTCAGAAAACGAGTGGGAACTGTGAGCTTTCAAAAAGTAACTGATTCTCACCTACTGAATCTTGGAACAGTTTAATGAGAAAACAAATCGCATTTCCTCCTTATTATCATCCCAAGTCTGGAGAATAAAATTAGGGTTCATAAAATGTTGGCTGATAACATAAATCACCGAGTAGAAGATTTATAAATATCATGAGGTTTTCCCCTGGCAATATTTTAGAAATATTTACCTGTCTTCAGACAAACTCTAAAAGATTTATTTTATAAGACAAATGCACTTTTTTTTTTTGCAGTTACTTAAGCCATTTATAACCGTAAGAACTGTTTGCTATTATGAAGCCTGCTTAAATCTGAGAACCGTAACGACGACTTTGAAACTAACAGACTGCAGTCCAAGAACTGTACTCTTCGCTTGCTCTTGCAGGAAAAAATTCCTTGCAACGCCGCCCATGTGGGCACCCCCCCACCCTTCTGCGTCGTAAGGGCTGAGGGATACCGACCACAGCAAATTTTGGAAAATTCTAAATACAACTACTACTGACGTAATCGATAATACTTTCTGAAGTACCACCTGCCTTCCATTTTTACCCGCGCTGTACTTGGTGAACTATGCAAAGTTTAGGCAAAGTAAGTGTATATACATATATATATATATAAGCGCCTTATTTTTATTTCCATCAGTGCAGATGTGCCCACCCGCACGCTTTCCCCACACGCGGCACGACGACGGCACCGCCATCGGGGCGCCCCCAAGAAGCTCCCCCTCGGGCAGGCGCAGCCCACGCGCACAGAGCCACCCCCTTCCCC